ACCCCAGCCTGTGTCTGAGCTCCCCGTGTGCACTGGGCTAGGACTCCCCGAAATCTACCACCCACCTGGGTCCTGTGACACCCAACACCTGGTTGTGTAGAAGGGATCTCAGCTTGTGCCTGAAGCATGACTGTAGGGGCTTCTGGCTCGGTGCAGAGCAAGAGAGCAGGGGGGAAGCTGTGGATGGACCAGCTCAGGAGAGATGCCGGGAGCACCCAAAGGGCTGTGGTGGGAGTCCTCGATGGGGCAATCAACAAAGTATGGTGGTTAAGAATTGGGGCTCTGTGGTTAGAGTGCTTGGGTTGGAATTTCCTGTCTTCTACTTGCTTGAACAAGAGTGAGACACCATCTCTAAAAAAATTAGAAAAAAATTAGCCAGGCGTGGCGGTGTGTACCTGTAGTCCCAGCTACCTGGGAGGATGAGATAGGAGAATGGCTTGCCCAGGAGTTTAATGTTGCAGTGAGCTATGAAACAACACTGCACTCTAGCCCAGGTGACAGAGCAAGACCTTGTATCAAAAAAAGAAAAAAAAGAATTCTCATAACTGCTCCATGAGGATAGCACTACTATTATCCCCATTTTAGAGATGGGGAAACTGACCCTTCAGACAAGTAGCTCATCCTAGAACAAAGGGCAGAGCTACACCTTGAACCCAGGCAGTCTTTCCTGAAAGCCTCCACTCTTTATGACAACAGCTGTCACTTTCTGAGGGCTCAGGCACTGTTCTAAGTGTATCCACCTCTTCAATCCTCCCATGGAAGGAGCCCACATTTTCATCTCTCTCCCTGGACTCCTGGGACTCTGGAAAGCCCTGCTCTAGTCCAAATGCTCACTGTCCATATGTCGCTCCTGAGGTCCAAAGAGGGATAGGGGCTTGCACAGGGTCACAAAGCCAGTTTGTGGAACAGCTAGGACTGGGACCCTGGCCTCCTCTTTCCTTTCGGGGACCCTGTGGCTAATTGACACCTCTACTCTCCCTCGTAGCCTCAGGCCATGTCCAAACTGCCTACAAGGCGGGCAGCCGAGTTGTCAATGGGGAAGACGCAGACCCCGAAAGCTGGCCCTGGCAGGTAAGAGCAATACCAGCTGCACTAATTCCCACCATGGGCTCTGGACCCCGAGCTGGGATGGCAAGGGATCTGGTCTTGACGCCATTGCTGCCTTTTCAATATCCACTTCAGCTTCCAAGGGCAGGAAACCCTTGGACCACCTGCTTCTCTTGGAGGTTTTGCCCCTTCCATCTGTAGTCCTCACCGGCTGTTCGCAAGTTAAAAGTGGAACCTGGGGCTGGGTGTGGTGGCTCACGCCAGTAATCCCTGCTTGTTGGGAGGCTGAGGCAGGAGGATCACTTGAGGCCAGGAGTTCAAAACTGCCTGGGCAACATGGAGAGACCCCATCTCTACAAAATTTGAACATTAGCTGGATGTGGTGGCGCATGTCTGTAGTCCCAGCTACTTGGGAGGCTGAGGCAGGAGGATCACTTGAACCCTGGAGTTTGAGGTTGCTGTGAGCTATGATGGCACCACTGAACTCTAGCCCAGGTGACAGAGTGAGACCCTATCTCTAAAAAAGTAAAAGTAATAGTGGAATCTAGGGTGAGGGTAACACTTAATTGAAGGGGTTGGCACAATGACGGAATTTCAGGCAGTGCGATCAGGGAGGGAGGCTTTGAGGGACTCATTTCTAGATCCCTTGAATTACGTAACAGGGCTGACGGCAGTAGGGGTTGAGGGCGTTGCAGAGGCCAGTGGAGGGAAGCGCAGAGGGCTGGACTGCCTATGCTGTCGCACAGTAGCCACTAGCTACATGTGGCTAATTAAATTTAAATTACTTGAAATTAAATAATGTTAAAAATTACAATTCCTCAGTGCTAGCCATATTTCAAATGCTCAATAGCCACGTGTGGCTAGTGGCTACCATATTGGACAGCAAAGATATAGAGCATTTCCATAATCACAGAAGGTTCTATTGGATAGGGACAACGGTCTGGTTCTGTAAAGGACCAGAGAGTAAATATTTTTGGTGTTGCCGGCCATCAGGTTTGCATAGCAATGACCTAGCTCTGCCATGTAGCCTGCAAGCAGCCGTAGGCTATACAGGAATTAGCGGCGTGACTACGTTCCGGTGGATCTTTATGTGCTAAAACAGACCCCCAAGCCAGATCTGGCCCATGGCCGTAGTTTGCCGAGCCCGGCTTGGAGGGAGCATTTGAGCATGAGAAGGTGTAGGGATGGGAAGAGAGGCAAAGCACTCAGGTGAGCTGTGCGGCTTCAGAGGTCCGAGAGCCCTGGAACGCTCTGAGGTCCAGAAGAACGGGGGCCTGACAGCACAGAGGGCCTTCGGGGACTCTCAAGAGACAGAAGGTTTGGGGGTGCCCTCGAGGGCAGAGAATGTGGGATCCCCTGGGAGGTCACAGGCTTGGGGTGTCGAAGCCTTGGACAATCAGCATGTGATTCCAGTGGAAAAATGACAGGGCCAGCCCAGGCAGTTGTGTAGGCTGTGGGCTGCACATTTCAGAAGGGGCTACTGTTTTCCATGTGAATGGCACCCACTGCAGTTGTACAGCGCACAACCTAAGCAGCCGTGGGCCCCAGACCACTCAGGCTGTTTTCTGCTTGGCCACCAGATCTCCCTACAGTATAAGAGTAACGGAGCCTTCTCCCACACCTGTGGCGGCACCCTCATCGCCAAGGACTGGGTTATGACCGCGGGTCACTGCATCTCGTGAGTTCTCTCACTTGCCCCGTCCCTGCATGAGACCCAGGCAGCCGGGGACAGTGAGTGACTACAGGGGTAAGGGAAGTTAGCCCAGACTGACCTCCCCTCCACTGGCAGGACCGACAAGACCTACCAGGTGGTGTTGGGCGATTATGACCTGTCTGTGAACGAGGGTACTGAGCAGGTGATCTCCATCAACCGTAAGGACCTCTTCGTGCACCCCCGCTGGAACTCCAACTGCGTGGCCTGTGGGTGAGTAAATACCCAGGCCCGAAATAGGGCTCCGCTACTTATCCCGGCTGTGACCCACAGCCGAATCTGAGGAGGCTCCCAGGGAGCACTGTGTGGGTCCAGCAGCCTGTGTCCTGGTCCCATATGCTGAGGGCTGGAGCCAGCAGAGCCTTTAAGGACCATTGACACTAGGCTGGCAGGGCGTAGTGGCTCAAGCCTGTAATCCTAGCACTCTGGGGGGCCAAGGCGGGAGGGTCACTTGAGGTCAGGAGTTTAAGACCGGCCTGAGCAAGAGTGAGACCCCATCTCTACTAAAAATAGAAAAAATTAGCCAAGCCTGGTAGCACACACCTGTAGTCCCAGCTACTAGGGAGGCTGAGGCAGGAGGATCCCTTGAGCCCAGGAGTTTGAGGTTGCTGCCAGCTAGGCTGATATCACTGCACTCTAGCCTGGGCACCAGAGCAACATTCTGTGTCAAAAAAAAAAGGACCATTGACACCAAACCTGTCTCCCTCCAGAGGGGACAGCAGGGCCCAGAGAGAGGCAAGAACTCCCCCAAGGCCACTTGGCTAGTCGGCTTCAGAGCCCAACACTCCTCTGGCACCCTTCCTGCTAGTCCCAGGGCTCCTCCATTCGACAGCCAGTTTGTGCAGTGCATGGAGGAGCACTGGCCTGAGACTCAGGCTCTGGCACTAACTGTCTTGTGGCCTCGGCTAGTCACTGGTTTTGTGTGGGTCTCAGCTTTGCCATTTGTCAAAGGTGACCATGAACCAGGGCTTCCTGGGTGGTTGTGAAGGTCAGGGAGACAATCTTAAGACAATTGTATGCAAAGTTGTAAGTCTGAGTGACTCATCTTTTTTGGGTGAGTGGGTCCAAGAAGGGTCGAAAACTCCTGAAAATGCACCGTAGAGGGAATGACCGAGACCCCGACCCCCCCCACAGGGCTCCTGGGGAAGGAGAGAGGAAAGTCAGACCCAGGTGCAATGACTTGAGTGACAAGCTGGCAGATGAGTGGTTCTCAAAGTGTGGCCCCTGGGCCCACGGCATCAGCATCACCTGGGAACCGTGATGTGAATTCTTGGGCCTCGGCCCACACCTACCGCATCAGAAGCTCTGGGGTGGGACCCGGCAATCTGTGTTTAACAAGCCCTGCAGGTGACTGTGATACTGTGAGACCCACGGGGATATAAGCAGAGGACAATTCTATAAGTCAAGGGTGAGCATGAGTGAAGGGGCTGGGAGAGCTTCTTAAAGTTGCTCAGCCTTAAGATTGGACTTGATCGACAGCCATACCACCCCGAATGTGCCCAGTCTCGTCTGATCTCACTAAGCAGGGTCGGGCCTGGTTAGTACCCGGATGGGAGACTGCTTGGGAATACCAGGTGCTGTAGCAGTGTAGGCATTGGCTGGGTGCGGCGGCTCACCCCTGTAATCCCAGCACTTTGGGACCCAGAGGTTGAAAGATTTCATAAGGCCAGGAGTTTGAGACCAGCCTGGGTAACATATCGAGATCCACCCTCCCATCTCTTAAAAGAAAAATGGATTGGGAGGGCAAAGAATCTTTGGGGAAATCTAAAAGGTGGAACAGCCTGAAGCAAAGGCTGGAAGGGGCTCTGGAACTTGGGCCAGCTAGAGGACCAAGCCTGGAGACTCTTCTGTCCTCCCCAGCAATGACATCGCCCTCATCAAGCTCTCAAGCAGCGCCAAGCTGGGAGATGCCGTCCAGGTTGCCGTCCTTCCCCCGGCTGGTGACATCCTGCCCAACGATGAGCCCTGCTACATCACCGGCTGGGGCCGTCTCTCTAGTACGTACTGACCCATGTAGCCAGCCACAGGGACAGTGGCAAAAAGACAGGGCCTGGGGCCGGGTTGAAGGTCACACAAGGACTGGTTCTTGTAAGTTTTCTCCCATTTCTCTCCACCTGCATCCTTCCTTTCCATCCTCCTAGACACAAATGTGTTCCATTAGACATTTTTTAGTGCCCCCGGTGTGCCAGGGGCTGGGGTGTAATGGTGCACAAAGCATGCGGGACAATGTAGCTGCAAGAAGGAGAGAAGAGCTGTGACCCTTGAGTGCCTCCTTCTCTGGGGCTCCTACCCCTGCACACCCAGACCCCCCACTCAGGGCTCTCTACCCCTGCAGCCAGTGGGGAGCTCCCTTGCAACCTGCAGCAGGCTCTGCTGCCCGTGGTGGACTATGAGCACTGCTCCAACTCGTCCTGGTGGGGCTCCACCGTGAAGACGACGATGGTGTGTGCCGGTGGGGACACCAGCTCCGGCTGCTTTGTGAGTCAGCTCTTACCTGCCCCAGGTGGTGGCGGGTGTGCAGGGCCCGGGGTGCCTCTGCCATTGGCCCGGGAGGTGGAGGAGGAACCTTGCCTGCTTGCTCCATTCAGCCTCCAGGCCAGGCAGGATTTGGGGAACGTCAGCATGGTCCAGACACGGAGGCCAGGCCTGGGACTCAGGACCCTGGATTCCAGTCCCAGCTCACACACTGACTTGACCTGGCACAGGTCACTACCCCTCCCTGGTCCTCGGGCTTCCCCATACACAGGGCAAGGACACTGGCCACGGCCTCTAAAGTCACGTCAGCCCTGTGGTTGTGAAGTTACGATTAAACATTAAGAATATGATCACTGTGTTATAAGTGAGTCTGAACAATAATGTTAGTAACCAACATGGTGTTAATGATGGGAACTGCCTGTATCGGGTGCGTCCTGTCCCCAGATGTGCGAAGACCGTACGTCCTCCCATTCAGTCCTCACAGATCCTGGGCAGGTTATTCCCCATCATGAAAGAGCAACTGAGTCTGAGAGGTCAAGTAGCATGGGGGTTTCTCTAAATCCCTAAAGCTCAGAACCAGTTCCCTAACCCTCACACACGACTCAGCCCCTCCATCTCTCTGCAATTCCAGGGTGACTCTGGAGGACCCCTCAACTGCCCCGCGACAGGTAACACCTGGGAGGTCCACGGTGTGACCAGCTTTGTTTCTTCCCTCGGCTGTAACACCCTCAAGAAGCCCACGGTGTTCACGCGTGTCTCGGCCTTCATTCACTGGATCTGGATGGTGAGGGGGCAGGGTGGCCGGGAGGGCTCCGGGGTGGCAGCTCTTCTGCCAGGTGATGGGTGAGAAACGGCAGACCCTGGGGAGGGCCTGAAAGGACTCTAGAAGGTTGGTCAGTCGTGGAGGGGCCCTTGGGGACATTCCAGGGGGTTCGGGATGTTTCCTGCTACAGCGTGGCCCCAAGAACTTGATGGCTTCTGGGTGGAGCTTGGAACTGCTGCCGAACTTCCTTATTCATCAAGTGTCTATGCAGCGTGTCCTCTGATCTGGTCCTCTCTTGTCACAGAGGAGAGAGACGTGCCAGACTGGGGGCCTGCCTGGTGCGGGCCCGGTGGCTAAATGAATACTAAGGAGGAAGTATGATAGAACCGTGATGGGGGGCCCAGGCCCCAGGGAGAGGTCACACTGCATCTGGGGACCGTGACAGAGAGCGCTGATACTGTCTGTGATCACAGTCATAGCTACGGTTTACAAACCACTTACCCTTGTGCCGAGCACTATGAGGAGAACTTCAGCTAATAGTTTAATCAAGAACCCCCGTGAGGTCAGTTCCATTATTACCCCAACTATGCAGACGAGGACACAGGCTCATGGAGTTCACGTCACTCTCCCAGCGTCACCCAGGGGTGGGAGGTAAACCCAGGTCCATGTGGCTCCAGAACCCTGCCCCTAACTGGACTATTCTGTCCTCCCCCACCTTTTTCCAGACCATAGCGAACAACTAGAAGCCAGGCCGGCTGGCAGTGCTGACCCCACGTCCTTCAGAAAGAATAAAGATCTCTTGGAAAATCCCAAGTTGAATCTTTCTTCCTTTGTCGGCTCACCTCTGTCCCTCTGGTCTGTTCCTAAAACCTTAGATCAGATGCATAGACACAAGACCTGATCCAGCCCTCTCATATGAAGATGAGGAACACGGGAGGCCCAGAGAGAAGAAGGGGGTTCTATGGGGTGACCCACCATCCTAGTTTGCCTGGGACTCAGGATTCCTAGGACAGTGGACTCTTAGTGCTAAAACTGGGAAAATCCCAGGAAAACTGTGGCAAGTTGCTCTCCTAGGTATACAGCACACCTAAATCAGTTGCCTTTCAATGCAGGCATAAAAACATGGTAAAATGTGCAGAAAAACTGACCGTACCAGCCCTTAAGGAGGTTCTCAGTAGAGTGGGAAGGACCATGTGTTTTCTTTTTCCATTGATGGGCTAGAGAGGGAGGGCTGTGGTCATTCATTCATTTAACAAACATCCATTCCTTGTTCTAGAGGAGGGCTCAGAGGGGGCAGAGACATGGGTCCTGCCCTGAAGTGGCTCATTATTTAAAGAGAAATGAGCATACTGGAGTCATTGACTAAACATTTACCAGGTACCTGCCTCGTGGCAGGTTCAGGGCGGGGAGCACAGCAGTGAGTCAGACGGGCTCAGGGAGAGCCCTTGCTGCAGGAAGGAGAAGACGCACACAGGTACACACAGGTACACACTCAGGTGCACACACAGGTACCCACACACAGGTGTAGACACAGGCACGCACACACGTACACACACAGGTGCACACTCAGGTGCACATTCAGGTGCACACACAGGTACACAGGTGCACATACAGGTACGCACACAGGTGCACACACAGTGCTAGACACCAGGCTGGAGCCCAGCAAGCTGTTGCTGAAGTCTAAAGGACTGCTGCTGGGTAGACAAGAGCAACATCAAACTAATGCATCCCTTTACTCGTGTTTCTCCTGCACACTGTGACAGCAAACACGGTCCCAGCAAGGACAGGCATACGTGACTTTTAATATTAATGTTCCATTTGTACCTTCCCTTTAAAAATTGTAATTTTGGGCCAGGTGTAGTGGCTCGCGCCTATAATCCTAGCACTCTGGGAGGCTTAGGTGGGAGGATCGCTTCAGGTGAGGAGTTGGAGACCAGCCTGAGCAAGAATGAGACCCCGTCTCCACTAAATCTAGAGAAATTAGCCAGGCGCGGTGGCACATGCCTATAGTCCCAGATACTCGGGAGGCTGAGGGAGGAGGACCGCTTGAGCCCAGGAGTTTGAGGTTGCTGTGAGCTAGGCTGACACCATGGTACTCTACGCAGGTGACAGAGCGAGACTAAATGTCAAAAAAATAAAAAATAAAAAATATTTTTTATTTTCGGTTACAACTAAAAAGGGACAACATGAAGAATAATATAGCAAACGCCCAGGTAGGTAGCCTGCCTTCAGAATTAACCCATTTCACATTTTTGCTTCATGTTTATTAAAATAATAATTACAGTTGAGACAACCTACAGAATGGGAGAAAATTTTTGCATGCTACAAATCCGATAAAGGGCTGATAACCAGAATCTACTTAGAACTTGGGAAAATCAACAAGAAAAAATCAAACGACCCTATCAAAAAGTGGGCAAAGGACATGAACAGA